AGGTTCTTTTCCCATCTTGAGTATCCTCCTGGAAGATGTCATGCTAGTGAAAGCACGGATCTCTAACAGCTCTTCCACTTTCTGGAAAATAAATCAGCCTCCTACTCCAAAGAAGCACTCCTTCCTTTTCCTTCCTGATCATCCTTACACAGACTCATTTTATCCCCTGTCATTAAGAGCCACAAGGATGGTGAGGGCTCTGGAGAACAAGCCTGATGAGGAGCGGCTGAGGGAACTGGGCTTGTTTAGCCTGGAGAAGAGAAGGCTGAGGGGAGACCTCATCACCACCTACAACTGCCTCAAGGGAGGTTGTGGAGAGGTGGGTGCTGGTCTCTTCTCCCAGTTGATGGCGGATAGAACAAGGGGAAACGGCACCAAGCTGTGCCAAGGGAGGTTCAGGTTAGAGCTAAGGAGGAAGTTCTTTACTGAGAGGGTCGTCAGAAGCTGGAACAGGCTGCCCAGGGAGGTGGTGGAGTCACCATCCCTGGCTGTGTTTAAAGAGCGGGTAGATGAGGTACTTAGGGATATGGTTTAGGGGGTAGACAGGAGCGGTTGGACGTGATGATCTCAGAGGGCTTTTCCAACCGAGCGATTCTGTGATTCTGTGATTTGTATAAAGATTTGTCTTTCTGAAGGATGACCATTTGTAGCTCTACACATTACCATCCTCAGGTCCAGGTCCACAAAGCAACTTTGGGTTTGGCGTGCCTTCTGGTTAGGCACCCGTCTCCAAGAGTGGATGTGGCAATTTGTTTCAGTTATTCAGGTTTACTTTGACTCTACCCCTTTCCTGTGTGGTATCCCAAAAGGCATCCACTGTAGGGAAATGCTGAACAGAATGACAATGGGAGGGAGCAGTGCTTGAAGCAGCCCAGAGAGATGGGAATTCAGCATTTCTCTTTGGTAGGAGACTGCCCTTTTCACTGAATACTGTTCTGTTCTCTCCCAGCTGTTCTTTTTGGTCCCTCTCGAATCCTTTATTCCTTGCTTGGTGGCCCAAGCCCTGTGAGAGGAGCACAGAATGGCAGAAGAGAGTCTAAAGTGATTTTCCCACTTCCTGGCAGCGTGTCTAACCATTACATACAAAGCATGAAGAATTAGATCATCTCCTTCGCTGACAGTTTAGTTTCATTCAGAAATAATCTAAATGCTGTGCATTATGCTGACCTTGGGAGAAAGATGCTTACTGGATCAAGGCCCTTGAGGATTTCGATAAAAGCATGCCATGCTAACAATCTGAAACAGGTGGAAGAAATAAAGATGTACTGAGTTTCGGGACAGTTCAGACAGTGGTGCTCGCTGGCTTGTGTAGGAGCAGAACTTGGGAGGCTGAGGAGTCAGTACCTAACATATGTCTTACGAACCTGTAAATCTGAAACATCTAAATTCCACCAAAAGTGACATTTCATTGTGTACAACCTTTTGAGTATGGGTGTCACTGCATCTCCTCTCTTTATACACAGTGAAATAATGTAATAAGATTCTGGTCTCATTAAATAGGAGCCAATTGCTTCAGAGAGGTAAGGCTTTACTTAGTTGGACTTCTTACAGAATAAGGTGCTCTGCAGGGAAGACGATGAAATTTCGCTTTGTGGTTTAACATTTACCTTGGTTCTGCTCTGGGAATTCCTCACACAAGCATGTGGCTAAGCTGTGGAGCTCCCCACCTCAGGACACTGCATGCAAAAAGTTTACACAGGTTTAAAAGTCAAGTGGATAAGCTAATAGAGAAAAAATTAAATGAAAGTTAATACAAAGGTAGCACTTCTGGTGCAGGAAAATCACAGTCCCTGTGTCTGTCTCCTCTCTTACCTCCAGTCAATACATTCTTGCCCTGTTTTATTACTTTTTCTGAGTCACCTGCTGCTGGCTGTATCAGGAAGGAAGATGCTGTTCTAGGCAGATCCTTAGACTCATCCTTGGCAGCAGTTTGTACGTTCCTGTGCAAGGGAGATTTCAGACTGAAAGTCATTTGTAGCAGCAGCAGCACAAACATACTTTTCAGTTTAAGTACACGTAAAGCTATTTCCCTTTGGCTTTACTCTGTTAACGTGAAGAAAGGTATTCTTGATAGGCCCTAGATCACGCTAAGGCATGCTTATTTCCTTCAGAAACAACACAGTATACCCAAAAAGTCTAAGGAGATAGAAAAAATTACTTATTCCATAGGAAAAATAAAATGTTTAGAAAGATTTCATTAGGGCTGTGGCAACCACTGGATGTAAATTTACACTGTAGTGTAAATTGAAGGAACCTGACTCATGTAAGGACTCTGATAGTTCATTCTGCATTACTCT